TTCTTCACTTACATGAAACTCAGCACCCACTACTCTGCGTTTGAAGAGCATTTCCCTCTGCCCCTCCCCCTCCTTTACACCAACTTTGATTAGGGAGCCTTACCTTTATAACAACAGTCTTTCGTTGAGTAGAAATGCTAGATCAAAGAAAGGAACTCTTCTCATCTACCGCTACATGCAACACTCCTCTTCCCATTCCATCATACCTTCCACTTTTAGCCGAGCCTTTTAATTGGATATATCCCCAAGCAGCACTGTTAATTGGACTAACCTAACCTATTAGGATGTCGGAAAAGTCTTTGCGCATTTGCCCAACTTTTTGAAATTCTTTTTTTTTCAGTGCAGCCAACAATGACAAATACATACACCACCATAATCGTCGAAACATTGCTCTTCAGCAGGCAACTTCAGGTTGCCGGCCGTTCAGAAATCCCGAGTCTTTGGGGCGAAAGCTCGAAAGAGGTTGACTCCGAGTAGGTCCGGATCATCGAACTGCCCTATTTCAGTACCTTCGACGGCAACAGAAGCGTATGGTAGCTGTCTCTGCCAGGTTTGCTGAACACACTAAGTGGGTCAGATCATCCCATAACGAGCTTGGAGACTTTTGCTGAACCTTCTTCGTAATTCTAAGGGCGAGCGTTGCCGAGATAAAGTAAGCATTGCCATGCTTCGCATACACCATATCGGTGAACCATTATAGTTGCCAGCATTATTGCTCACCAGCAGCATTGGAGGTCGTTGGCAGCAGCTCTCCGTGAGCGAAACATTTGCAGCCTCATGAGCTTTCAGAGTTGCCTCCTAGGTCGCAGTTTTGAAATCGGCGTTGCAATTCTTCGTTCTACGTGTCCAACCCAGTCGAGCTTTTGCGTGTGGTTTACGTGAAGAGTTCATTTTTTGTTACCACCGACAAAGTTGTCCGGTCAAATGAGACAGACGCCAAATTAAATGTTCATGCAAAAGCTCCCAGCCCTTGAAGGAGGTGGTTAGTAAGATCACGAAATACCTTTGCCATGGTTCATTTTTTTTTCTTTGAGGAATGGCTATTGTGATCTGATAACACTAAAAATGGTCTGCTAGATTCTGTGCATTGGACCGAGAACTCTCTTCAATGACTTCAGGGACCGTATGCTATGCTCCCCGAAAGGGTTGGGGACGAAAATTCCTTTGAATTTTCTCTGTCTTCCCAACTGGGATTGCCCTGATAAAGGGCCTACATTTAATGTATGTATGTAGGTAAAAGTAAACATGCACTGAAAATGGAGCTTTGACTGGCTCTTTTTAACCTTTGACTTATTCCTTTAAATCTCAAACATTCTACTGCATCCTATTCTATCGATCGTTTTGTCTCTATTCTCCAAAATCGCGCTTCAACCCGATTCTTTCAATGCGTCGCCTGATACGTGGCCGCCCAAGGCGCACTTCTTTCCATGCCCCGCCTTTGGCTCCGCGCGACCTACCTTCGACTGTCCATAGAGTGTGGTTTTCGTAAGTTTGTTTCTCTTCAGAAACTGAATCTTCGTGCGTGAAACTTTGTACGTTGTTTCTAGTGATCACAACTGACATATTCATGTTGGGAAAGAGAGTAAGAATTTTGTGGGGAGGATTCCTCAGACCCATTGCGTATCGCCGATTTGCCCCTATGTGACCGCGCGCTGCAGATAGTGAAGCATCGCTTTTTTAACACATTCACGCCGATGGCCGCCCATATGGGCTGCCAACAACATGCGCTCCTGGGACGATGGCAGCCCATATGGGCTGCCAACTGATAATCGCTTGCCAGGCGCTAGGAATGGACAGATAGGTGGGCAAACCTCGTAATCGAGTGTAAAATGCTTTTAAATTCCTTCACGGGGAAAGTGAATAAATGCTCTCTTTTCGTAACCACTATTTGTCGTTCTGATCGAAATCCTACTGTTATATGTTTAGATAATCTTTACGCATTGGACATTGCAGAAATTTTGTGACATTCATGTTTTTGTTCATTTACAAAACAAAATCTGCGGTTATGTGGTGAGGCGGCGGCGCCCACAAAATCGCGTCCGTCCCACGCGACCGAAAAGTGGAAAAGGGGCGTCGTCGTGAATGGATATGCTCGAAATTTTCTCAAGCTTTAATTCAGCAGTAATAGAGTCTCGACTCAGAAGAGCAACATATAGACGTGGGATTGCGTCATATAAAGAAAGTGCATTATCGGTCATTTGTTGAAAACTTCAGTCGCAGCTTCCCTATTCTACTGTAAGTTTGTGGTGAAAAAGAAAAATAGCCTAAGCGTCAAATCGGAATGCTCGGAACAATAAAAGAGGTTCGACTTGGGACACTTCCCGCCTCTGTATTCTTAGTTGTATTCTTCAATCTACATTTCCTATTCCTGCCGTACTCTTGTTGCATTATTTCTTCAAACGTTTGATAATAATCAGTCCCACTTGTCAAATATATTCATTAAATATTGCAAATTTATAAGATACATGTTTGGACCTTATGTAAAAGATGGATAAGATAAGCGAAGTATTGACATTCGTAGTGCTGCACGGGGCGAGAGTGCAAACTGGCGCCGACCACACGCGTCGGTCCGCCTAAAAACGCCGCGGTACGCAATGGATTAACACGTTGACGACAGGATGACGCGCATGCGCGTCAGAACCATACAAGTCATTTGTTGTGCTTGCGCTCCTTCTTCTCGAGTTTTTGTATTCATTCTATAGATAATACATTAACCCTTTGACGACAATGCGGATTTGCACGTAGCGTGCTCGTGGGACCACGCCTCTTTTTGGCGCGCCCAACTCTCGCACAAAATGGGGCAAAATTGTCCCTAAAAGCAGTTTTTCTATCAAAATTTTGACTATGACAATAAACAAAATATGACTGCAGTCTTAAGCTTTATGATCATGTATTGTTGGAATTAGAAGTGGAAGTTTGGAAAGAAATCTCGGATTTCAAAGGGATGGTGTTTGAAAACTCTAGAAGTTCAAATGTACAGTAGAATTTTTGATATAGTTCAAACTCCTCCTTGTGTCTTAAGACTGTGAAAAGACGTAGAGGTCCTGATCTGTAATTCACCTTAAGCTTAATAATGTAAAACACTAGTTAATACATCGCCGAGCGAAGTGCCATATCCTAAAACTTCATATAAATTAGCTAGTAAGAAATATTTCTGAGCTTGCTTATAATTACTGATATGTTGAAAATGTTTTAAATGGGTAAAGAAGAAAATTTCAAGGTGGCACCCACCATTGGGTGCCATTGTCCCACGCGACGGTCATAGTGGCACCCACCGGTGGGTGCCATTGTCGCCAAAGGGTTAATAGAGCTATGAACCACATGGCAGCCAGAGTGGTCAAATATCCCTTGATTTAGCAAAGATTTTCTGAACGCACAAAACTTTCATTTCAATTTTTTCCTAGTATTCCTTTCACTGTCGTAAACATTCATATGAAAGATTGTAGAAGCAGTTAATACAAAACTGTGAGTTTCGAGATATTTGTATTTGATGGAAGAACTTAGGTATAAATGCTTTTAACTTCATTCGCAGCGAAAGTGATGTTTTTTGCTTCTTCGTGGTCATTATGCGTTCTTCTAAACAAAAATCTACTGCTATTTATATAGTTAACCTTTATGCTTTCATCCTTGCCGAAATAATTCTATGAGATTCAAGTTGTTGTGCATTTTAAACAAAAAATAAGCGGAAGTAAGGTGAGGACGGCGCGCTCGCAAAATCGCTCCTGTCCCACGCGGTGCAAAATGCCAAAACACGCGATGTCGTCAACGTGTTAAGACCGTGGCAGCGCGTTCAAAAATTGCTCCTACGCCGTTTAGCGTGGATTTTTTTACAGAAGTTTTTTGATTATCACGTTCATTGTTCTGCTATTGTTTGATCAGATTATTCTGTAATTGTATTCCAGATTTCCCTGCCATGTCAAAATGGCAATGCCTAGGAACGCCGGTCTTATTTTCCATCGTCATTACACCGGTAGCAGGTTGGTGTCTTAGAACAGTTTCATATTCAAGTTACATCAGGTCATATGCAACGATGCAAGGGTGGCGATACAAGGTGAGCAATCGCGTGACACAATTCGATCCCTTGCCCTGTCGCATATCCCCATCGCTGCAGAGGCTTATTTCAGTGTTTTGAGTAACAATAGGTGCACAATAAAGTATGACTATTATCTCTCAGGTTTGATCATCTATCAAGCTGTGCGTGGGTAAAATCACAAACATGAGCACCACTGCCCTCAGGGTAATCAGTGCGAAGATATAGCAAAGTTTCATATCTTTCTGCGAAAAACATCGAGGGTAACCGCAGAGAGGGGCGGAAGTGGTGTAGTGGCAAGTGGCGCGCTTACCACGCGAGCGGTCCGGGGATCAAATCCTGGGTCGTGAGTCGCCCGGGCCAACCAAGCCTTCCATCCCTCCGGGGTCGGTTAATTGGTACCAGACTTGTCTGGGAGGATAAAAACACTGACTTGTACATCGGCTGACCCCGCAAGTCATCACATTCAAACGCTTGCCGTTGAATGCCTTTTTGCTTACGCAAGAGCAAAACGACCGATTACGATTGAGTATACCTTGCAGCAGTCGTGATGGGCAGATTTTGGCTCAGGTGTAGCTGTAGAGAAATCGTAGGGGAGGTAGCACTGAGCGCACTTGGATATCTCTGGCAAACATTTTCAGTTTCACATTCACCCAGCTTGAAACTAGCGCACAAAGACGCCTAAGGTAGTGCATAGCTCCCAGAGGTCACATCGATTTTCCATAGTTCCATTGTTAGAGCTAAGGCCGATGTCGGACCTTACGAAAACCAGCGATCCAGTAGTGTCCACAGTTGAGTCGCGGCCAGCGAATCGCTCGATTTGCAAAGCCTGACATAGGCTTCATAGCGCATGTTTTCAAGTGCACTGCTGAAAACCATCAGCTTCCGAACACTTTTTCACTGGTTAGAAAACCTTCGAATTCCAGGTATATTCGCTCTTATTACGTCACTTGATCGATTTTACTGTGTTATGTTCCCTCTCAAATACCTTAAGCAACGAGTTCCTTATGCTCTTACAATAATGTTTTCGGCGTATTTCATAGGATTAATACCAATTATAAAAACGCTTGTGGACAGCTATCAATGCAGATTTATTATAGAAGTGAGCGTTCATTCTTTACATGATACTTATTATTAAAAAGTATTGAAGAGCTCGCCAGTTCATTGGATTTGCTCAAAACTTTTGAAGCGCTTGATTTCCTTGAATTCATGGGATCACTTTTGAGGAACCAGCCACATGCCATACGAGTAGTGCTGCAACTCCTGAAGATTACATCATGCTCAGAAGCATACGCGTAGTATGCACGCTGTCCTGTGTGTTGATTTATATACCCATTTTTGCTCGGATGTATAAGGTGAATCGTAATCAATTTTCTATTCCATTTTGTGTGGTCATTAAAATACTCTGAATGATTTAGAATATACGTGCACACTACAGAATGACGAATCAAAGCACACGAAATCAAAAGAAGTTACTGCGGATGACGTTGACGATTTCGCTCATCACCTCAAACACGATTCTCTTCTTCACTATTCCTGATATTTTTTTGCTAATTAATCCTCGCTACAGCAGCAATTTATTTTTCATATTGAATTTGAATAAGGTACTCAGTCAAAAATAGGCATAACAGTGAGTACAAACACTGTGCACGACGGTGAATAACTGTATTCCTCGATCATGGCTCTTCACTTTGTAAGAGTAGGCTGGGGAGTGAATGTACGCGCGGAGAGCACAGACGGCTCGCGCGTGGCGAGAGTGAATATCCGCATGGGAGAGCATGGCTGAACAGCCAGATATCCTACGGGTCGTAGACGAATCCTCGGTCGATTTTTACCCTGCTGTGCGCTCAAATGCAATATTTCGCTTTGAGTGTGGATAAGATTCCTGAAATAATGATATATAAAAACAACCTTCATTAGACAATTAAGCCTTGAAGGAAAGGTCTAGGATCAATTTGGCGGTAATACCGGTTGCATGTGAATGAAGGGTTGGAAAAGGGATTACAAGCTGGGGAGAGTGGAGTAGGAATCGTCAAAAACTTGAAGCGGAATTGTCGGTCACAAATCACCTGTAGTGTTCGCATAGAAATTTTGGTCCCAATATTTGTAAACGACACTCTCAACTATATCGATTTATTCAGACCCATTCAAAGTTCGATGAGAAGTTGGAAGCCTTTCTGGTAAGAGGGGCGGACAGCGAGATAAGGGATAATGTGAGTCGCAGAGAGGGAAAAGAATTTTGAGTCGAAGGAGCACAGCAGGGTAATAGATACGATGCAGATAATGTATTGAACGGTAGGCGGGCAATGATCCATCTGGGCGTCGGATGGTCCAAGTACTAGTGCAGCATTCTGCAAGTGTGTCCTTTCTTAGACGTGTTTCGAGGTGTGAAGGTGGCGCGACCTTTGCAGTTGCGACCGTACCACCTCTATCCACTAGAGAGACTTTTTGTGTGACTGAATCCGGTCCCTGCCTTTGAATATGGCAACAGAACCGATGCTGTTATTGCCCAGAAACTGCAATTCGGAATGAAGCAGTAGATACCCTCCAAGGTTGTGCACAAACACAAAATAAATCCTTTTATGGAGCGAAAACGACAAGCTTTAGTTTGGATGCGCAGAAGAAAATCAAAAAAAAATTCAAACGATTTTCTTGGGTTGGGCCGTGAACATTATTTAAAGACGAGTTAGGAGGTGCTGTTGGATGAACGCATCGTCAAATACGAAACAGTGAAGTTTTGAATAGGAATGGAATAGCACTAGCAAAGAGATATCATGGCCAAGCAATGGATTTGGCCAAGGTGTTCGCCATTTCTTTTACTAGTTTTCGCTCTATTGGATATTCGCAAACGTGGGACAAAGTATTGGGCTGGCTGCAGAATATCTAACGAAGCTGAGATTGAATTGACCATTGAGACGAATGGATGTACAGGAGTGAAGGCGTGTCGGCTCTGTCGGAACCTTTATGTTTCGACACGCTATATGGCTTCCCGCTCATTCGCCCAACCTTCTCATAGACAGAAGAAGATTTTTTTCTCAATATAAAGCATGTAAATTGAATCTGCAAGGTTTATTTTAGGGCATCATAAATATCATAATATTTCTTGCTACCCAGCGATCTCTTCGTCAGGTTCTACTTGGCAGGTCGGACAACAGTGAGCTAATGGTGAGTCCTTCTTCGTGCATAAGCTAGTGAGAGTGTGAAAATGCATACGACGCCATCAGCGGGCGTAAAGGGTTCTGCCAGGATTAGAGGAAAGCTTTTCCTAGAAGGAAACACCGCTCCAAAAGATACAATTTTTAGGTTGCGGTGAGAATGGGCCCGAAAACGATTACTGGTTGCAGTGCTAGAACTGATACTCAATTTTAACGATGGTGCGCAAAGTAACGATCAGACATGTGGAGGACTACACACGATCGGATGTGCAATTATGTGCCGGCATCATCGTGCTGTTTCTCTTGCAAAACACTCCTGAACCCAACTTCTGAAGTGATGTTCTTATCAATTGCTTCGCTAATCAATCTGTTTTATTTCAGCTAACAACTACATAATTTGGCAGTATTGATCGTGATGCAGATAAAAGTTGAACTAACCACTGACATTTCAAACAATTATGCGAATTCAATTCTAGAAATACATCATACATTGCTAACCAAGTGGTCGCAAGGCCTTCATTGAAAAAACCCTTGGTAGTTCTGCTTTCGCACCATTTGCCATAAACATACCGAGGAGAGATGAGTTTGTGAATTTTCCGAACTCAATGGGAATTCAACGAATCACCATACTAGAAGTGATATAGCTAGAACAGAGATACAGCAGCGGTCAAAAGTGTTCACCGGAGCAATTTTTTGCGTTACATTTTTTTCTCAAAAAAGTGTTAAGGGTAAATAAAGGTTCTTCTTCCAAGCAGGGTCAACCGTCCGTTCGAACTGTTCGAACGGGGGGGGTCGCATTTGTGTTCTGGGAGGGAGAAAGGGGGTCGCATTGGTCGCTTGCGCGCTTTGGTAGGGCAGAGGTGTGTGTGAAAAAAGTTGCCGTTTCACTGGTTGTATATACCCCCCCCCCCGCTCGACGGCTATTTTTGGGGAAAAGTGGGTGGAGTTTCGGAGTTTTAGGTAGGTTTTGGGCTGTGTCAACTGGTCTCAGAATCAAATACTATAGAAGAGGGAGAGGTCGCGGTGGAGGAAGGCTGGTTGTATTGGGGGGGGGTCGCAACTGTGTGTTGGGAGGGGTCGCAACTGGACCCTCTCGAGAGGGAGGGGGTCGCAAAAATCCCGAAAATGTTCGAACGTGACGGTTGACCCTGCTTCCAAGTGCTTTGAATCCTTAGAACTCAGAGATTCTAAAGAACTAGAAGGTACTACATATCCAAATTCGGAAGGACTGGAAATGCAATACAAGCAAAGCACGGACGAACGGCTTCGGGAGAGACTTTTGACCGCAGCTGTAGGGTAAAGTCGCTTTATAGTGATCTATAAAATAAATCGATTGGCTCCAAAAAAATGGGAATATAATATATCTGTAGGTGCCATTGTAAAAGCAGTGGATTCAGATTTCTTCTCTTTGCGTCCAAGTCCTAATAGAGGCCTTCTTCCTCTTATTCATTCGAAGTAACACTTTGCAATGTAAAAATGTGTGCAGTGGTCAGATTTGCTTGTATGGGGTAACAGGTTTCTAGTTTGTAGCCTTCAGCCAACCGAAATGGTCAAACGAATCAAGAAGCAATCGCTCCCATATGTATTTATGGGGAGGATGGTTTTTAACGACAGCGGCCGAAGCCCAGGTGAAGTAGGGGTGCTCCTAATAACTTTTTCAAGCTATCTCGGCCAAATTTTGAGTTCCCCTTCAATTGGCGGTGACACCCTCGTTACAATAAGTAACTCCCATAGAAGGCGTCACAGAATTTAAGTGATACTGTCCTTTCCCTGGCTGCTGTCAATCTCAACTGAATTTCTGACTCTCCACAGCCGGGGTTAGAACCGAGGCATTTTCGTGGTTTATTATTCGCATTTGGACTATTATTCCAGGCTATCTTGAGAAGTCCAAGCAGACCCTTTTCATTCTAACACTCCTTGCCACGGATGTCTCTATGATGCACTGTTTGCTAATCACCCAAATTGTTCACAGTGACTTCTTACTGCAATCTTCTTGTGTATTTACGAGATCCACACAGCTGTTCTAAACTGTGGGCGGAAGTGGTGTAGTGGCAAGTGGCACGCTTACCACGCGAGCGGTCCGGGGATCAAATCCTGGGTCGTGAGTCGCCCGGGCCAACCAAGCCTTCCATCCCTCCGGGGTCGGTTAATTGGTACCAGACTTGTCTGGGAGGATAAAAACACTGACTTGTACATCGGCTGGCCCCCGCAAGTCATTGTATAGGCCACATCGCATTCAAACGCCACTACGAATGTACAAATGGAAGTAGAATGCGTGCCGCATCCCAAAAAGGCAGAAGCGTTAAACTTTTATCCTTTGCATAAATGTTCTAGCGTTGAATTAGCAGCTGGTAAAAAGACCTGTCCCTTTAAACTGCTGTGTATACTACTGATTTGATCTGATGGATTCTGCTTGATTTTCAACTTCCCATATTGTTCTGCTGAGGTATCGCAAAAACTCCGAGCCAGTTCTGTGTGCCTCCAGGTTAGCGCTGGAAGTCTACTTTGCTGTTCATTTGGAGTACGACGAATTGGTTCTGATACCATTGCTGTCCCTGATTTAGATGTGCATTTGCGACAAAAACGAATTGAGGTGTAATGGGTCTATTGATGAAGCGTGCCGATTGTCTCTTGGGGGTGTGTGCGCGAGAACGGGCTGCCAGTGAGGAGAGTCGCGGGGCGTCGTCCATTTTCCTTTTCTTCAGACCCTTGTGCCTCTTCCACCCCGCTGTTTTCGTATTCATCCACCAATCTGCCGTTCGCGAGATTATCGAACCTCACTAATCATTTGGGCCTTATCCTCATCATGTGACATCGTGATAAACGTTAAACATTATGGTGAGTTTCGATTCAGCATTACACGTGAGCCCTTCACGAGCTAATCGACCCCTTCAACCTGAATTCTTCCTGTTTTCAGCTATTATACGGTATTTTTCTCCTCTTTATGGTATATCTGCAGTTGTGGCATATTAGTCTCGCTAGTCCAGACGAATACAGACTTTTGTCTGATCTTCGCCATAATTACGATCCATACGAAAGGCCTGTAGCGAACGCTTCTGAACCATTAGTGGTTAGCGTGAAAATCTATCTTCAACAGATCCTGGACGTTGTAAGATTTTCTTGATCGAGTCATTTTTGATTTATTTTGCCATTTTTTTCATCATTGTCTCCATATACAGTATTTTAAAATCACGTACTATCAATCCAGGATGAAAAGAATCAAGTGATCACTCTCGTTGCTTGGATCGAATATCAATGGACGGATTACAAATTAAAATGGCAGCCATCCGAGTACGGTGGGATTAAAGATATTCGAGTACCAGGCAATGCGAATGCGATCTGGAAACCGGATGTCCTCCTTTATAACAGGCAATTTCATAATGAGTTTGAAAAAAATTGTAGCAGCAATAACCCATACTTTCAGTGCCGATGAAAATTTCGACTCCACATATCCAGTTAACTATGTTGTTAGCCATAATGGCCATGTACTGCAGGTCCCACCTGGAATATTGAAACTTTCTTGCAAAATCGATATCACATATTTTCCATTCGACGACCAAATGTGTCATTTGAAGGTAATCTAACTCCTTATGAGTACTCTCACAAGCAGATCGTAGACGGTTTTTGTTGGAGAGACGTCGTTTTTTGCCCTTCACTCTTTGAGGATATCGTCGTGTCAGGCTTGAACTTTGTCAGGAGGATTAACTTTACCTCCAGAGAACAGATATTGCATAGATATTCGTAAGATTTCTCAGCCCCTTGTTTTCGAACTTAATTTTGGCCACAGTTTTGCACACTTGCAATGGTTTCTTTACGAAAACCGTCGATATTTGCATGCAAATTTATTAAAACTCGTTTTTGACGTACTAGGCTGGCTTACTCTCGAATTTACACCGGGTGGTCCAAAATTATGAGGACCAAGACATTGTGTCGTTAAAAACGCATAGTAGCTTGATGGAACAAACAAACTTCAGGGAAGTGTTTGTAACTCTTATCTCAAAGTAATTCCAGAATAGAATTGAGATCTGCCACCTGCCCCGTTTACACGAGCCTTCAGATGAAGGGGATGGCGCGTGCGGTGGCACGCAACTGAGGCGTGTCAAAATGTTTCCAGGCCTTCTGCTCTGCTTTCTTCAGGGGAATCAAAGTTTTGTGGGGCATTTATTTGCGCTTGCTCCAGGGTGTAAAATACAGAAATCTAGAGCTATTAGGTGGAAGGTTCCATTGTAACAATTCTTCGAAAGCAACGAACTCGAAAAATCGCTTTTTAGAGAATTTTTGCTTTATTCTTGGGTGCTCGGTCCTGTAAAAAGTCCCAAGTAGGTACTCAAGTGGCTTTCTATCCACTACAGATGTGGAGTCTTTAGAGTGTCTGGCTGGGTTTTCACATCAATTTTTTCATTTTGGGAGTACGAAAGTCGACAAGGGGAGACCTAGTTTCTGCATCTGATAATTGTCCTGGTGGTAACTGTAACTTTCGAGTCTCCGAATTTTCCATCTGTGGTGGTTCCAAACTTATTGAAGAGTTGAACTGTTGCTCATAAGAGCTTCCTGATACGTTAGACTGCCGCTAGATGTAACGTGCCAGAGCCCCTAGTGAGTTCAATTTGAGGACTGACTAAGGTGATGTTGTTATTTCACTAGTTTTGAGAACTGCATGAAATTTGGTTTCAAAGGAAGAAGACATTGTACCCTTCACATAGTGCACAGAAAAGGAGATGAAAATGGAGCGACTCGGAAAAAAGTGGATATGACCGCGCGCGCACGCGGTCCTCATAATTTTGGACCACCCTGTACACCGGATGTGGTGTCCCAAGCGGTTGAGGGATCGCTTTTGCACAGATTAACTATGATATTCACGGGGAACATAGCGAGCTACCGCCGGGAATAGTTTTCTGAATCAATAAAGGTTTAGTCCTAATTCCGAAAATTGGGGCGCAAGGAGAAATATTGCCTAAAAAGCCTGTGTAAAGTTTAATCAATTGCCACAGATGTAGTAACATCCAGCATTTGAGCGGTAAGCCAAGAACCCCATCCAATCCTCAGATACCTCCCTCGGATTTTCGAACATCTTGTGACTTTAACATACTTTTTTCGCACTAATATGCAGCTGCACGCCAACGCTTGTCTATGACGAGCTCTACTATAGATAAGAAGCCAGCGTCCCAGTAGAGAACGAGAATTTCACGAGAAGTAAGGAAGTTTGACTATTTGCAAGCTAGAGGTGCTCATAGATCATAAATCATGAATTGGAAGATTTCTCACGAGCCTAGTGCCATTTTTTATCTTTGTGATTTCACCGATTTTGGAAAATATCAGAAAATCACATATCCCAAAACAACTGCCCAATCAATGCGTGTCACTAATG